AGCTGATTATTATTCACGTATTTTTTTAAAAGTTACACTAGAAACTTATTTCGTAAGACGAATGATAAGCTCTTTCTGTATGTTGTTTGTTTCATGCAGGATGATAAATGGTAGGAGCTGTAAAGTGGGTAGATGAACTGTCATTGCCAAGATGGCACCATATGCATCACTAAGACTTCATTGTACAAGTTATTTAATGAGTATGATATAAGATTACATGAAATCCATGGGGACGACCCGTGCCCTACTTCCGGATGGCACTCGATGCATAGCTCTTTGCAAGAAGGCAGGTCGCTATAAGCAGATCAGGGGGGGAGAAACGGAACGGGGTGTCAAGCACAACAAGTCTGGTACTATTCAAAGTCTTGCTATTTGGTTTTTCTTTTTTCTTTTTTCATATGCCCTGTTCTTGTATAGCGTTTGATTTTAAGTATTTTCTATTTTATGTTGCTCTTCAATTATTGCCCAGTGGTAAAGTGTACATTAAAATCTGGGGTTAGTTACACGAAAATACACAAGTTTTGTCTAAATATAACAAAGTACCTAAAGCTTTAAAAGACCCTAAGATTAAATACTAAAGTATCTCCCGTTAGACAACCCACATGCTGTTTTTACAAGCTTAATTAAATTATATTGAAAGCTGCCTCATTTATATTCAACTATCCATGTCATAAACCCTGCCAACAGAGTGATCCCCTTTTCCTTACAGTTCTCCAAATTTCCCAAATTGAATTGTGCCTAGGAATAATTTTGATTTCGAAACTGGAGATTTTGAAGCTGGCAATCAAATTGTGGAGAAAACATTGATATTAGGTCAAATTTGCTGTTGGAAATAAGCTTACTTAAACTTAAAGGTACTGGTTGTAAATTAAAAGCAAACTTTAAGATAGCAAAAAGGAGAAGGAAAAAAGGCATGGGATTAACATGTGCAATGAAAAATGGATATTCTGATATTCTAATGTCACAATGTGCTAGCAGGTTGTAAGTAATTAGAAACATTAGGGTTTTTAATGTTGATTGAAACATTGGTTATTGATTTTTAGTGTTTTAAAGCTTGTGTATTTTGGTGTTACTTTTCCGGCGAATTTGGGTTATTTCTTGGTAAACCTTCAAATTTGTTTATTCATAGTGTTATGATTTATCTATTTGATATACTACCAGCTTACTTAATGTTTTTTTATTTTCTTATTACATCAAGACTCGTCATCTATATTCGTCATCCGAGAGCTTAATGCTTAATAAATATTTAAGAAATCTGCAGCTTGTTTAACTGTTTCAGAAATCTTTGTTTCCTGATCATGGTGATCATTTTTCTGCAATTATTTTTATATTCAGAGTAATCCTGCACAGTGTTTTGTTTTTTACCACTGATAAATATTTAGTCAGGAGAAGTGATAGAAAGTGAATGACTACATAAATTACATAATCAAGTTTTCTTAGGATCCAACTGATGAGTGTTCTGAATTAAATTGATATACTCTATTTCTTGATAAAATATAGAGAGGGACCAGGAGGAATCATGTATGTCATAAATATTAATCATATAGTGACATGTATTGATGTATCCGGACTAGTTTATCTGTTTACTACAATTTATTGTTCTTTACTCCTCACTAATATCAGCCCAGTAAATTCAACTTTTCCCCCTCAATTAACAAATGGATCTCTGTTCCAGACAAGCAATGACAATCAGGAATATAATGGCCAATGCAGTTAGGTTGAATTTTACATTGTAACAACTTTCACCAATGTATTCGAATATTTTTCTAAACAGTATATTACCTTCTTCTCTCTCACACACATGCACAACATACACAACAAGATGTATGCTCTCTGCTGCACAGAAGGCTTAAAATGAATCTCTTCCAGACATGGCATTTTTGGTGTTTATGTGAGCTATGTTGTAGCCTAGTTAAAGCATTCCTATATTGCACTAAATTGAAGTCATAAATTATTTGTTCTTGCTCCTAGGTGCAAACGGTTAGCAAAAGTTCCTCTAAAACGTTCAAGCAGCTTTGTATGTTCCTGATGTTTATTATGGCTAACTCTCTGATTGTCTGTTGAAATTGTACAGCAAGTACACAATTGTAGTCAAAACCTAGTAACAGATGCAAACTTCTTGTTGTTTTCTGAACTTTATCCCAGAGACTTCTTTGTGATCAAGAGACCCCTTTCTAATGAACTTCTTATCCAATAGAACAGTATTTGCTGAATAATACTCTTTTTTCTCTTGATTGGTTCCTAACGTTACTTCATGATAAAAGAAAATTACATGTTCGGCCTTAACGGGCTTTAACTTCAAAACGGTTGGCTAACTTATAAGTGCAGCCATTCCAAAGAGAATCTTGTGCAAATACAAATCTAAACAACTGATTGCCCCATGTTTAGGCCCAACACATTTTGAGTGCAATGTTTATTATATATGAGAATAATAAAAAATAATATCTAATTTTCAGGCCTGGCTATATTCAGTGCAGAAATCGTCCATGTGTTCTTTAGACATACATGCTGAACAATTAACACTTGATTTGAGAATATTTGCAACCAGCCTGAGTTACTTCAAATACCAATATCGCGATAGTGGATATATCAGCTACTTCAAGAGCAGAATACTCTTGTCCAATTCAATTAGTAACATCAGCACACCACACAAAATTGACTTTCCCATGTTCAGGCTCAAACTCCATTGAGGGTTTAGTCTTTCTCCGTAGAAAAAGACACCAGAGTTCGATTCTGGGGTATTCTGTCCTAAAATCTAAGCAGGGATAAGTCTGTGCTTAACCCGCGCTGCCGGTTAGTTCTTAACCGTTAAAAAGAACACCCGTTCACATATTCAACATTGTGGCAGGTTGTTATTAATAACGCCAAAATCCATGCCTTACACGCATGGGGAATTTCATCCTAAATTCTAAGCAGGGATATGTCGACGCCTAACACGCGTAGCCGGTTTAGTCTTTTTCCGTAGAAAAAGACACCAGAGTTTGATTCTGGGGTATTTTATCCCGAAGTCTAAGTAGGGATAAGTCAGCGTCTAATACACGTTGCCGGGTAGCCTATTCCCGTAACAATGGCGAAGTCTACGTATTCGAAGTCGTAGCACAAAGTCTAAGGGAGTTCATTCCTTTAGCGCAACGTTACATACGGAACGGATTTAGATAATCCGCATGCTAGCCCGACTCAAACGGTAGTCGGTAAAGGCTCATCAAACCCGTTGATGGCTGAGAATTTGCCAAAAATTCTATAAATACGAGTCATTGACGCATCAATTTTATGGATTGGTCTCGTGACTCAGGTATCTGCCACGCTCCAATTCCTTAAGAGCTTAAACTGTGTATACTCCAGAAAAGGTACGAGTATAAACTGTGTCGGACGCCGGACAACGCGTCACAAGGAAGCTCAAAAGCCGGACAACGCGTTGTAAACGAAGATTCAACACCGACAATCGATGGTCAGTTCTGTGTTGAAACAGCGAACTCGAGTTGAAAAGTCAGGAAATCAAGAATCGACTTCAAGTTCAAAATTCCGACAGACGGTCAGACAATAAATGCAGCACCGGAACCCTTACAGATATTCGACAAAGCATCGAATAGCCTGGAGGACTGAAGGAATCAAGAATAGAAGCCATTCCAAATATCCCGTCGTTACCGATTGAAGGACAGGACAATCATATCCAAAGTATTCCAGACTCTTCTATAAAAGAACGAGACTGAAATACTTTGGAGGGGGTATCTGTAGGCATATAAAACTGCCTGTAGGCCCTTTAACGCAGCTCGACGATGCCGATTCGACAAACCGATCATCGGACGATGTATGCAGACACGATCATTAGTCCACAACACCGAAGCTAAATCGGCGAACCAAGTGGCCCGCGTGCTCACCGGCCACCTCCAAGTTGCGCCCCGCACGCGTCTCATCTCTCCCTAGCCTCCAATATTGGCCAGCGTGCTCACCGCCACCTCCAAGTGGCCCGCACGCTCGCCGGCCCTCCAAGGCCAGCCGTGCTCACCGGCCACGCCCAGATGGCCCGCACGCTCGCCGGCCACCTCCAAGTGGCCAGCCGTGGCTCACCCGGCCTACCTCCAGTGGCCCGCCACGCTCGCGCCACCTCCAAGTGCGCCCGTACACTCACCGCGCCACCTTGTGCCAAGGCCACAGTAAAGAGAGCCTATAAATAGGCCAAGGGTTGTTCATTTTGAAAGGTTGGATTTTTTGGAGGCGAAGCCCTGCTGGATTCAAGACTCAGATCTAAAAAAGATTGAAGCTTTAGGACTTTGAGGACTTGCTCATCCAGATCTGGTGCTCGGCGATCGTCAACGCCAAATAAGGCAAGAGTTCGAGAGGACCGAATCTCAGATCTACGCAGGCGTACTCCGGATCAAAGCTTGGTCTTTGATCCCGAGATTTGGGCGATTGTTTCCTTGGTGAACCAATCCCCCCCGGCTATTATTTCCTTCGTGAAATAATACCCGTAGTACTGCGTAGATCCGACCGGATCTAGATCTCGCGTTGGTCCACGGATAAACCCCGGCGCAGGCAAAGAACCCACAAAGCGAGCGACTGCAAAACAGGAGCTCACGATTTGTTCGACAAAAGAGAAAAGTTGTAATTTTTATTTCCTTTTTTGATCTCGTTGTAACCGGATCTTATAAAAAGACCGGATCTTTGTAACTCAAAAAGTTGTTATTTAAGAGTGAATGGAATCAATGAAGAAAGACACGATTTTTCCCGCGAACAGTGTTCATGTCTACTTTGTACAATTATTATATCCTGAACAACTAGGGAAAATAATAGAATTGAATTCTGTTACTAGTACTGTGGGTGATGCTACCTATTTATGCATTCAAAGGATATCTTCAACTGGAAATGCTGTATATGGTTACTGATAGAAGAATGGCAAAAGGCCTGATTATTATTCACTTATTTATTTTAAAAAGTTACACTATGAAACTTATTCGAGACGAATGATAAGCCTCTTTCTGTATGTTGTTTGTTTCATGCAGGATGATAATGGTAGGAGCTGTAAAGTGGGTAGATGATGTCATTCCAGATGCACCATATGCTATCACTAAAGACTTCATGTACAAGTTATTTAATGAGTATGATATAGATTACATAATCCATGGGGACGACCCGTGCCTACTTCCGGATGGCACTGATGCATATGCTCTTGCCAAGAAGGCAGGTCGCTATAAGCAGATCAAGAGAACGGAAGGGGTGTCAAGCACAGACATAGTTGGTACTATTCAAATCTTCTATTTGGTTTTTTCTTTTTCTTTTTCCATATGCCCTGTTCTTGGTATAGCTTTGAGTTTAAGTATTTTCTATTTATGTGCTCTCAATTATTGCCCAGTGGTAAAGTGTACATTAAAATTGGGGTTAGTTACACGAAAATACACAAAGTTGTCTAAAATTATAACAAAGTACCTAAAGCTTTAAAACCCTACAGATAAATACCTAAAGTATCTACCGTTAGAAAACCCACATGCTGTTTTTACAAGCATTAAATTAAATTATATTAAAGCTCCCTCCATTTAATTCACCTATCCATGTAATAAACCCTGCCAAGAGTGATCCCCCTTTTCCTTACAGTTCCTCCAAATTTCCCAAATTGATTGTGCCCTAGGATAAATTTTGATTTCGAACTGGAGATTTGAGCTGCAATCAAATTGTGGAGAAACATTGATATTAGGTCAAATTTGTGTTGGAAATAAGCTTATTATAACTTAAGGGTACTGGTTGTAAATTAAAACAACTTTAAGAGTAAAGAAGGCATGGGATTAACATGTGGCAATGAAAAATGGATATTCCTGGATTATTCTAATGGTCAACTAATGGTAGCTAGCAAGGTGTAAGTAATTAGAAACATTAGGGTTTTCAAGTGTATGATTTGGAAACATTGGTTATTGATTTTTAGTGTTTTAAAGCTTGTGTATTTTGGTGTTATTTTAGGCGAACTTTGGGTATTTTCTTGTAATTAACCTTCAAATTTGTTTATTCATAGTGTTATGAATTTATTATTTGATATACTACCAGCTTACTTAATGTTTTTTATTTTTTTATTACATCAAGACTCGTCATCTATATTGATCATCACCGAGAGCTTAATGCTTACATAATATTTAAGAAATGCTTGCAGCTTGTTATGTTTCAGAATCTTTGTTTCCTGCTCATGGTGATCATTTTTCTGCAATTATTTTTATATTCAGAGTAATTCCTGCACAGTTGTTTTGTATTTTTACCACTGATAAATATTTAGTCAGGAGAAGTGATAGAAAGTGTAATGACTACATAAATTACATAATCAGTTTTCTTAGGATCCAACTGATGAGTGTTCTGAATTAAAATTGATATACTTCTTATTTTGATAAAATATAGAGAGGGAGCCAGGAGGAATCATGTATGTCATAATATTAAGTCAAATAGTGACATGTATTGATGTTATCGTGACTAGTTATCCCTGTTACTACAATTTATTGGTTCTTTACTCCTCACTAATATCAGCCATAAATTCAACTTTTTCCCCTCAATTAACAAGTGGATTCTCTGTCCTCAGACAAGCAATGACAAGCAGGAATAATAAAGGCCAATGAGTTAAGGTTGAATTTTACATTGTAACAACTTTCACCAATGTATTTGAATATTTTTCTAACGAGTATTTACCTTCTATCTCTCTCTCACACACATGCACACATACACAGATGTATGCTCTCTTGCTGCACAAGGCTTAAAATGAGATCTCTTCCAACATGCATTTTTGGTGTTTATGTGACTAATGTTGTAGCCTAGTTAAAGCATCCTAATTGACTAAATCTGAAATCCATAAATTATTTGTTCTTGCTCACTAGGTGTCAAAACGGTTACAAAGTTGCACTAAAACGGTTCAAGCAGCTTTGATGTTCTCTGAATGTTATTATGGCCTAATCTCTGATTGTCCTGTTGAAAATTGTACCAAGTACACATTTAGTCAAAACCTAGAACAATGACAAACTTCTTGTTGTTTCTGACTTATCCCAGGAGACTTCTTGTGATCAAGAAGACCCATTTCTAATGAACTCTTATCGCAATAGACAGTATTTGATGAAATAATACTATTTTTTCTCTTGATTGGTTCCTAACGTTTACTTCATGATAAAAAGAAAATTACATGTTCAGCCTTAAGGGGCTTTAACTTTCAAAACGGGTTGGCTAACTTATAAGTGCAGCCAATTCCAAGAGAATACTTAGTGCAAATACAAGATCTAAACACACTGATTTCCCCATGTTTAGGCCCAACACCATTTTGAGTGCAATGTTTATTATATATGAAAATAAATAAAAAAATAATATCTAATTTCAGGCCTGGCTATATCAGTCAGAAACGTCATGTGTCATTCTTTAGACATACATCTGAACAATAAATTGATTGAGATATTGCAACCAGCCTTGATTAACTTTCAAAACCAATTGCATAGTGGATATATCCAGCCACTTCAAGAGAATACTCTTGTCCAATTCAATTAGCTAACATCAGACACACACAAATTGACTTTCCCATGTTCAGGCTCAACTCCATTGAGCGGGAATGTTTATTACATATCATTATAAGAAAAGAAATAAAGAAAAATATAATTTTTTATTTTAATACTAGTTGGATCAGTTAATGTGATGCCCCTGATTTTACACAAGGCTGCAGTCTAAGGTGAACCCAATGATGTCAAACCTACCATGCACTCACACTGTGCAAAAACATGTTTCACCATCATAATAATATCTCTCTAGTGAAATCAACAATAAACAAGTGTAGGTACAAAGCAGATTAGGTAAAGATGTCAGTAACATGGACATGATAAAGGAAATGAGGGAATTCAATGAAAAATATAATCATGTTCTAACTGAATAATATGAAATACAACTGACAAACTAAAACCAATGTGAAGTATCTCAATACATAGAGTTAAATAAAATAGTACTAAGGCACTCAGCCTTTACAAAATGAAATATAACTCTAAATATCCGAAAGTAATCATAACTATTGTGGAGCTCTAAATAACTACTAAAAATAAATAATGATGGGAGCTAATCCGAAACTCCATCAACTTGCGACTCTCCGTGCACCTGACTCGCTGCCTGAAAAGAGAGGAAACAACGAGTGTCAAAACGCTAGCGAGATCATCTGCACCGTCCTCAGGGGGAGGGGATTAGGAGTATATATCAAAATACAGGTTAGTACATATAGATATAAAAATCATCTATCCTGAACTAAGCGGATATTGATATTTAGAACTCCACAACACGAGAATGGGTACGTCGAGCGAAATAATCCAAACAAGGAAACCCTCATGTATATACCTCGTATCTCAAATTGTGAATCGCTAAATATCAACTCCAAATACTATGCATGAAACAATAAATAAGAGAAATACAAACTCTAAACCTCAATCAATATAAGTTATGTTAATCACACTACTCTCGGGTAGATGGGACAATCACAAATATAATATTCCGATCAAGGAAGCTCACATAAAATATGTCATGAATGACAACCTCAATCTTATACCCTATTCTCGGGTAACTAACATGGGAGCATGAATGCAATCTAAGCAATACTCTATCTGAAACAACGATGCTTTTGTAAGACGCTCACAATATCATGTGGCATCACCACCTTACTCAATCGTCCTGCGGAAATAGGCATATCAACCTATTCCGGAAGACAATGATGCACAACGGTGTAGTCTACTGCGGTCTCATTGTAATATACTAACTAACCACCCGAGTGTAGTCTACCGCGGTCTCATTGCGATATACCAACTAACCTACTTAAGCATCCACACTATTATGAATTGCAATATGCGTCATTTTCTAACATGACAAATCAAAATATAGAGTTATGCACCTCCAAATTCTCGTGCGTGCTCAAACTTTATTACGTGTACCCTTGTATACAACACATGTATCTCGACGTGCGACTCCTACTTCGTATTCACGATTAAACGCATATGAAGAATCAACACGTGCAAAACCACCTCTTTCGGTCGACCAAAACACCCTCTCAGTTGACCGACATATCGTGCAAAACATGCACACAAATAGACAGGGATCGGTCGACCGATGCTCTTAGTTCGGTTGACCGACCAGAGAAAGTTCCCACAGTCGGGTGGCCTATCGGTCAACTGATCACCCTTGATCGGTCGACCGATTGACACAAAAAATAGATTTTTATTTCTGGAGACAACTAGATATTCAACTAAATTCGTCAAAAAATCAAACTTTTTCAGTAAAACTCGTGTTAAACTTAAATAAACATATTTATGGTTAATTTCTATCGCATGAAATTAAAATTACAAATTTGATAATTTAAACTAAAACCCTAACATGTTCATAAGTGTCATATGTGTAAGATTATCATGAAAACAACTAACTTCAATCAAAACTCATGTTAAATCATATTCAAAACTTTAAATCCACATCTGAAATCCGTTCTATATCTTTTTAAATTAAAAAGATTAGATATTTATATCATACGGTTGAAAAAGAAGTGATTTTTATACATAAACTATGTTTATAAATCCGACCAAACCAAGTAAAAGCATTTAACAACAGAGGATGGGTTTGGAGGAGATGAGACTCGCCTCAACACATGCAGAAATCCCCAAGAATGCAAGAAAACAGGTTCTCCTTCGCCAAACGCCGACGATCTCACCATCTTCTTGGTATTTACTTCACAAAGCTCTTGAAAATCTCATAAATTTAATTCTAGGGTTTGATGAGGGGAGAGGGTGGCTGCTAGGGTTTAGAAATATCATGGAAAAGAGAGATTTTCGTGAAATATACATATATATATGGAGGCAAACCCGAAACAAGACCAAAAGAACCGAAACCAAATCAAACTGGGAAACTGCCTTAAGCACCCGTTGGTCGACTGATGGCTTGCCATTAGTCGACTGATAAACTCCTATCGGTCGACTGATTAGCAAGCATCAGTCGATCGACCCGAGGCATTTTCCAGCCTACAGGTTTTTACTTGCGTGCATGTTTTCACTTGTTTTGTGCATGTTTAACACTTGTATACTCTCATATATACACTTAATTGATCTCAAATCAATTACTAACATACTCATTCATCAATAAATGATATTTATCATAATATAACTAATTTATTACTATTTATTATAGTATTTTAAAAAATCACGGGGTTTTACAATTAAGTACTTCATTTATCTTTCTCTAGGAAATTATCTGAACAATAAATTTATT